GGAATCTCCATGAACATATATTCCACCTTTGGTAGCCTTCTTGTTTCTAATGGCTAAAGTTGATGATTCTTTTTCTTGAGAGGAAAGTTGATGATTCTTGACTTATATTAAAACCGTGATGCAAAAAGTGGTCCTTTTTTGTTTTTTGACAAAAGATACAAAATAGTTTCGAATATCATATTAAAATAACTTATCATCATTTGACTGAACCTACCTTTCTTTCTCATTCGCTGTAATGCAAAATGATATATTTAATATTGAAAAAAATTTAGTTGAATCATATTCTTAAAATAAATAAAGATATAATTGTACTTTTTTTAATTTTATAATTGGTGTGAAATATTATCAATTTTATTGATAATTAATTTTTTAATTTACAAAAAACTCAAATTCATATCTTATTTAAGATATTCGAACTTAATATTTTTGGATGTTAATACACTTTTTTTTGTTACATGAAAGTTTTGAGTTGAATAAGCTTATTAGAATTTAGACATACCTTAAAAATCAAAGAATATTTACATAAGGACTTACAAAATATCTACACCAATATCTTTAATTATATCAATACAAATTGAATTCACATATATGAGTTTACTTTTTATCAATTGGACTAACATTTGAATACACTTCTATTATTTGAAAAAAAAATATTAATTGAAAATAAAATAAGGAGATATTTTTTTAAATTTTATTTTTAAAAATCAAAATTTCTCTTTAACTAAAAACAATGTATATAACATATTTTTCTCCTTTTTATTTTTTTCTCTCATCTAAATAGATTAATACTTATTTAATTGTAAATAGCATATTACTAGAGGAAAGTAAATTCATTATAGAAAGGGTCCACCTCTAACATGAAATGATTTATTAGATATTGAAAAAAAAGTAAATCATATTCTTAAATCAAATAAAGTTTAAACACCGAAAGTTATACTTTAAACCACCTCTTAATCGAAAATAATAGAGTAAATAAATACATTATATAAGGCCTTACAAACAAATGTTCACATACTCACTATTCGTCGTTTTTATCAATTTAGCATCAAATTTTATTTAATCAACAATAGATTTGTGGTAATAGTATTAATTCAATATAAATAGTTTATAAATTATTACTTATGAGTGTAACAATTCATCATAATTATTATACTTAATGCATTAATTATTAATAACAGAAATAATTAAATACTTAGATTAATATAAAACATTATACCTAGATATATGAGCTATATTATATATAAGTATAAAATAATTAAGGAAATAAAATAACTATATAGTATATATATTGATACAGAAATCTAGTATTGTCGAATAAAAAATTATAAGTTGTCGTCGTTTAAGAAATAACTATACTAACCAATTATATTAGAGTAACCCAACAAAACAGTAACAAGTCATCCACCAACATGGCTTTACAAAATCATATCTTATCTCTGGCTAACCTTGTCCTACTCTTATATAAACATGATCGTCGTAGTCTAACTATAAGAAAACATGTAAGGATAAGATAATATTTAAAATAATACAACCTAATGCAAGTATAAAAGTATAAGCATTTATACTAATCTCTAACATGTAAACCATACACAACATCATCTCTTAGATTACAACATTTTCAACACCACATAAACACCGCAACATGACACTCCACACCTTACAAGTTAGAGCACTTAATAATATATGATAATTCATATTTCACCACACCAATGTCTCTCATCAATATAATCAACAAGCATATGGTCAACACCATATCACACCACATCATATGCAAATCATCTCAATTACATTTGTCATCACACGTTCACCTATGGAGATATCGCTTACAATAAAGGTGAGAAATTTAAGTAGCTTAATCGTACCGAACCAACTGATATTTTTACATATGCTAGATCAACAACCAATTGGTATACCAATCCCTACAACATGATTTCTTGAATATTACCACTTAAACAAGGAAAGTCTAGTACCACCATCGGGTATAACATGATTTGGGTATGAGTCTACCATGACATTGGCGTGCATTAAACAAGTCATATGTGGATTCAATCTGCTAACTATCCTCGTGATACCACACACATCTCCAATAATCAGTTAAAGGTTTAACCCTTGACTTCATATCTTACTCAATATCGACTAAGGACCTAGAGGAGACTTAACAACCCACCCCAAAAGATAACGCCTACTCAATGAGGATTTTCCAACAAATAAGCTCATCGAGCACCACACCAATATCTTCATAATGAGATATCCAACTTTTGAAAACACCCTTTCCTTTAATCCTAAGTCAATCAACAACCATTCCTAAATGCCTAAAACACTCTCAGTATCAACACCTCAATAGTTCAATAGTGTTCAATATATCATGCCTAATTGCTTAAAACATTCTCAACATCACACTTCAACAATTTGACATTACATACATACATATATATATATATATATATACTCTTTTCCTTCCCCTCCAAAATACACACCCAAACATACCAAAGGAACCGTGTATGTTGCAGTAGCACTATACCGTAATATTCTTCAAAAGCTCAGACGTAACATCCTGGACCCTATATGATTTTGGATGCCATTTTCTCTCAGACCAGTCAACATGAGTTACTGACCAGTTCGAAATTCCACCAGGATCAACAATCTAAAGCAGAATCGTAAGCCAATTAGCTGACAGTTGAAACTGTAAAAACAGGCCAGTATTACAACATACAACATGGAATAAGTTATCTAACATATCTATGTTCACCATTTAATCAAGCAAATAACAATTTTTCATAATGTGTTCCACTCTTGGTGCCATATGCCTTGCTCTTGGTGTCATTGAGACAAGGAGCTCTCTACCTTGCTCATGTTCGATGCCATTCAACTCGCGCTCAGTGTGAATAAGGTAGAAAATTGTTGGACTCTCATGCCTGACATGGTAAAACCCACGCCCCACCCATTTTAGGTAGAGAGCTTCTACCTAACTCATATTCAACACCCTTCCATTAGCGCCTAGCATCAATCTAGATAGAGACGATTCTTTCTCCTCACGCTTGATGTCATTCAACTTAACACTCGATATCACCAAGTTAGAGACAATTCTTTCTTCTCATGCATGATGTCATTCAACTTAATGTCTAGCATCACCAAGTCAAAGGTAATTCTCTCTCCTTACGTTCAATGTCACCAATCATGCACCCAACATGAATAAAATAAAGGACCCTTGAGTTGAGTCATGCTCAACATGATGGTGAATTTTACACTTGTAGACTCACAAAAATGGTTCAAACCACTTGAAAACCAGAGGATTCAAGAATGCATTGCAACATTCCATATATATACATCACCAACAATTCATTCCACATGCAACCACCATTACTCAAGATTATCAAGTTCTTCTCTTAAAAATCAAAGACAACCAAGTTCAACTACCACTATTCAAAATCATGCAATTCAACAACTTAATTGCAACTATTTAGCATCCATATCATGAAATCAGCCAACAAGCAACAAAACAATCCAATAAGAACCAATAATCTAACTTCCTTTACCTCAGATTTGAAGAGAATGAAGGAAAAGGAAGGAGAAATGATCTCAAGCTCTAAGCTAACATCGGAAAGCTTCGCACAACCCAACCTTGATTCTCAACTTTCTAACTTTAAATCAACAACTAACCACAATCCCTATGCATTTGGGTAGCCTAGGAAAAAGAAGGAAATTCTTCAAAATCTTAAAGTTCTTCTATCTAGTTTATCTCTATAAGAATCTTGAGAATAAACTTATGAAACTCAATTCTAAAAAAAACCTTATATACTTCTTCCTCATGATCAAATTGTACCTTTGTGCAAAAACTCTTTAAATATCTAAAAACTTCTCAAAAGTTTCTTAATTCTTAGAGTTTCTTAACAACACATCTCAGAACACAACAACACACATAACTACTAGTAAAATACAATTTCTAAGAAAAACACACAGAATTATAAATAGTTATGAAATAAATTTAATATTTAATTAATGAAGTAATGGATGTCATGGTACAATATTTTGTTTCCTCTTGATGCTTGTTGAATCAAATTACGTTTTAGATTTCTTACCAAGTTTCATTCTACATTTATTAACTAGATAAATATTATGATCTTTGGGGATTAAACTCCTAATCAATCAAACTGTTTATGTTGATACTAGATAAAGTGGGTGAAGTTGTTGGTCTAATGACCAAGTGATGAAACGCCCGTAAATAAATTTTTGATGTTTAAGTTAGTAGATGAAAATAAATAAGATATTGAGTGGAAATATTTTTAGTGAAAATAAATAAATTGAGAGAGTCACGGTGACTCCTAAAGTTTTTTTTTTTTTTTTTAATTTATTTAAATTACTATGTAAAGTTATTTTATGATTCTTTTATTTTATATTAGAAAATACAATTATTCACTTATTATATTAAATCTCTCACATCTTACATATATACTATTTTTGTATTCAATACAATTTATTTTACTCATAAAAATATTAGTTGTACTTGTATATATTTTTTCATATATTATGCGGGTTGACATTAACAAGTCATGCTTTTTATCTTCACTGTGTGTAAATCAAAATTCTAACTCAAAATTTACGAGTTAAGTTTAAATAATTTTGCAATAATTTTTTTATTTATATGAATAATATATATTCTTTTAGAAACAATCATGTTTGAGTATAGAATAAAACCCAAATTTTTCAAGAAAAATAGTGAATTATTCTTGAAAAAAATCATGATTCAGGTATATAATAATTTAATTTTTTTTACGATTGTCGGGACAAATAATTGTAACATGCTTATAAAATTAAAGGATGCTTGTTTAATGGTATAGAAAAAAGAAAGGGATTTGTTTGTGTAATTTAAAAAAAAAAAAAAAGAAGTATATATAAAATAGTGGGAAAGTAGAAATAGTTAATATAGTGTTAAAAGTTAAAAAGAAGAAAATGAATTGGGTTTGAGTGTGGAGATGAAATAGAAATACGCGAGGACCCGAAAGTGACTTTTAAAACCTCCGTCGTCGTTGCTTGATGCTTTGTTTCTCTCTCTCTCTCTCTCTCTCTCTCTCTATCTCTTCCGCAGAATCTTGACGTTCTGAAATTTCGCTTCACATCGAACCCACTTTCCATTATTCATTCTTCATTCTTCATTCATTCATTCATTCATTCACAATCCCTATTTATTTATTCATTCATTGGGTTCCCCCTTCCCTCAGTTGTTCTTGTTCTTCCTCTGCAAAATCTGAATCTGCGATCCAATTCCCAATGGGTTCGGTTCCCTCAGAACTGAGCTTGGTTTTAAGACCCTCCTTTGTCCCCAAAACCATCACTGATTTCCTCTCCCAACTCTCCTCCGCCTCCGACAAGCTCGCCACCCTCCACGATTTCCTCGCCCGATTGGAAGACGAGCTCCGCAAGATCCACGCCTTCAAACGCGAGCTTCCTCTCTCCATGCTCCTCTTAAACGACGGTTCGTTTCCTTTCCTCTCTCTCTCTCTTTCTCTCTCTCCCTCTCTCTCTCTCCCAATTCACCCTCTTTTCTCTCTCTCTGCAGCAATTTCACTTCTCAAAGCGGAATCCAAGAAATGCACCCCTGTCTTGGAGGAGTTCATTCCCTTGAAGAAGGACCGTGATCACACCCACCAAAACCATCGCAACGACACCGAGTGCACCACGGATAAGAGGAATTGGATGAGCTCTGTTCAGCTTTGGAATAACTCTACCACTAATAACAACAATGCCTCTGATCGCAAACAGCTTCATAACTTAGAAACCAAGGTACAATAACTAAATTCACACCCACCTCCCATCAAAATTGCACTTTTGTTTTAGTGATATGCATAAATATCGAGATTAAACTCTAATTCTGAGAATCAGCACTGGAATCTCTTGGTATAAGATGAAACCTGGTTGGAAAGGTTATGTATTTATGAGGGTGCCATGATTTTAGAGTTATCGGTCCTTTTGAGGCAAAAATGGAAAGAAAAAGAATACACCAAGATTGTTTCTGTTTATGCTTGTTCTAACAACAATCAGACACTAATGTTTGTGTTTTTTTTATTGGTTAATGGTTGGTGATGGCAGAAAAGTGAAGAAGGACAATCTGTGGGCGAGGATCCTTTCCAGTCATGTAGTAATAGAAATGGAGGGAGAAGGGCGTTTATGCCTTTTTCTAGGTACTCTTCTTCTTCATCTTCTGTGCCGGTCACAACAGTGGCACTGGCGGCTGCTACCAAAGAAGAGAAGGAGGACAGTGTTATGAATAGGCTTTCTCTTCTTACTACCCCTTCTGTGAAAGAGGGATGTGGTTCAAGGGGGTCGAGAAGCAGTTCCAACATGGCTGTTTCTTCTTCTTCTCCTCCTCCTACGGTTCAGCCCACTTTGCGGGCTTCATCGCTTCAGCAGGCTGCTAGGAAACAGAGGAGATGCTGGTCCCCTGAGTTGCACAGACGATTTGTTAATGCCTTGCAGAAGCTAGGAGGTTCTCAAGGTAGAAATTCAATTTTCTTTTTTCAATCTTGGTATGAGATTGAATTGGGATCTGTGTTTATTTCTCTTTCTTAAACTGGAAATGTCAAGTTATTTTGTGATTTCTGATATGAAGTTTCATAAAAACCGTAATTTTGACCAATTTGGAGATTATTGGTTAGTAGAAGTTGGGGAGTTTGATGCTGGAATTGTGTTGGTTGAAATTAGGTAGTGTTTGTTCTGTTTAGTTTGTGTAAAGTTGTGACTTGCTTAAAGTTAGATCAACCTGGAGACATAGAGTAGGAGTGTTACATGTGTCAATCTATTGGTTTAATAAGCCAAGTGATTCATCTTTGAACACACGGATTTGGCTGGTCATAAATTACACCTTGTTTGGTTCATTTTCCTAATTAAACTTCCGTGTTCTGTGAATTGCAGCAGCAACACCAAAGCAAATTAGAGAGCTCATGCAGGTTGATGGCCTAACTAACGATGAAGTAAAGAGCCATTTACAAGTGAGTTTTTGTTTTGTTTTTTGGTCCCTTTAATTGCTTGTTCAGTTGTTTGGTGACGAGGCATTTAGGGAAAAAGATCACCCTAAAGATTTAAATGTGTTTTGAAGTTTGAATTGGGAGTTGATGATATAGTTATGTATGATTGCAGAAATACCGACTTCATACACGGAGAGTTCCAGCTTCGACTGCTAATCAGCCAGTTGTGGTTCTTGGAGGTTTGTGGATGTCTCAAGATCAGTACAATGACTCTTCAAAGGTTAGCAGTTCGGGTTCAGGTTCCCCTCAAAGTCCCCTTCATTTGGGTGCAGGGTCTCGGGGAGGGACATCCCCAACTGAGGGTGACAGCATGGAGGATGATGAAGATGCAAGATCCGAGAGTTATAGCTGGAAAAGTCACATGCACAAACCTGGAAAAATTGATGTATAGGATACTACTCTCCACCATGAATTTTGCAGATAAAAGTATACATGGGAGGAGTTTTACGACTACATAAGAATAATACATGATACATAAAAGAGGGTCAATGGAGAGAGGCTGTTGGAGTTTTATGAAGGTTTAGCTTGCCTTCTATACTACCTGAGTTTTGATATGAGACTCCGAATTAAAATATCCTTTTCCTTCGCTTTAAGAAGCTGGTCATTTTTCCCATATCATAAAATTCTTTCATTTCTTTCTGTCTTAAGAACTCTGAAGCCTAGAAGAAATTAATTGGTCTAAACTCTTAATATTTTAATGGGTCTCTGCATGTTTGGGTGGACATTGCCGTTTTTAATTGCTGAATTATTTCTTTTCTTACGTTTTATTTATACAAATAAATTACTTCACAAATTTCGGACATATCTTTTCATAATTATTCTCTTTCTCCTCGTACTCTTTTCCTCTCGCATCAGACGATGCCTTGTTCTGTGCACACAAACTGGTGAAACACTGAACAAGAGGTGTTTCTGCCATCTCATATTGAGCTCTGGCTATGATTGCAATATGTCAATTCAGTACAGAGCCTTCGACAAGTAAATTTTATTTCTCACTGTCTTTGTGTGAAACTGCGGCTTTAAGGATCCATCGCTTCGCTTTAATGATTGGCAACTATTTAGTTTATTTGATCAAAGAAATGAATTTCTGCTAAAAAAATTATAATAAAATATAATTTATATTTCAAAATAACATTTGAAATGACTTTTAAAAATAATTTTATTTAACTAGTAAAATTACATTGCTTATAAAAACAATAAATTATGTTTATATTTCTAAGTATCTTATTTTTCTTAAATTAATTTCAATATATTTTTTTAAAAAAGAAATAAGTACTTGAGTACACAAGTAAAATTGCGTGAATTGATTTTGATGACAGGAAATGTGATTTTTTCTTAAAATAAATAAGAACTTAATCCATTTATTATAAAATATATCTGTAAAAGTAAAAATAAATAAAATAAAATTAAGACCCTTTTTTTATTTAAAGAAATATGTTGAAAGATACAACAGATAGTTTTGTTAAATACATGGAATTAAAATTAAGACCCTTTTTTTTCTTCATTTTTTATTGGTTAAAAAGCATTCTTAAAGCTTTTTTTAAAATGAAAAACCATTCATTTATAAAATAAAAAATCTCTTTAGTATATATATATATATATATATATATATTTTTTTTTATATAATTATTTTATCCTTAAACTGATTTCGTAAACCACTCTTTAAAGTTTAAATACAGTAGTTGTTATAAAAGATAGCTTCTCTGTCTCAGCAGTTTTTTTTATACATATCAGCATTTTTTTATTCCAAAAATACAAAATATGTTAATACATATAAATATATAGTTAATTGATAATGTAAAAGAAAGTATTAAAATTATATATGCAAAATTAGACTCGGATCTTTTAAGTATAATTTAAAATTCAAGTATATATTACGTAAAATGAAATTGTAAGAAATCGTTGAAGAGTATGTTTGATGTAAATTAAAAGCAAACACACAAAATGAAAACATAGTATAATTAATAACGTAGTCTCAACATAGTTTTATCACCTTAAGTTTTTGTTTGCTTTTTAGTCTCAACATAGTTTCATGTTTTACTTATTATTTGCTAATGGACACCCAACACCGGTAGGTGAAAAGAACCGAAGAAGAAAGACAGATCATAAGGGTTGAGTGAGAGAAGACTCGAGAAAGAAGGTCATCAATTAAGGAGATGAAAAAATGATTCCATAATTTTGAAATTTTTGTAGTGTTGTGCATTGATTATATATATATATATATATATATATATTTGTATTATTTTATTTAGTATAACGATTATTTACGTTTTTACTTTTGCATTTCATCTTTTTATATTGTCACGTCTTTTAATAATTTATACAATCAAATATGTTTATAGTTTTACAGTAGCATTATACCAAACCTACCAAATGAATAAAAAAATTAAACCTACCCAATAAATGAAGTTACACGTGTCAAAGTTTAGGAACTGTTTACCAATTTGTCTTTGTTGTTCTTTCATTTTACTGCTTTGGATATACCAGATGACAGAGCATGGGGAAAGTTATCTTATCTTGTAAAATTATTTCGTGTCATTATCTCTAAGATACTACTATATCCATCCTCATTAATGATGGGTTGTTGCTTATGTTTAATTTAATAACAACTCTATAACTGAGGTTGATAGTACGTGTCTCCAAATTCTTCCTAACCCATTCTTTCTTTCAAATCCAATTTACAGATATGATTATATGGTGAGTGGAAACCAGAAATAGAAGATTCCCTTGGGAACCATATTATCTTGTTCTTCTGCTTTTTTGTTCAGTGTGCAGTTTGTCCTTGGGGCTTTGCCATTGGAACCATCTAGTGCATCAATCGACTATATCAAAATCATGTTTTACTTCAAATCCAAAAGTATTTGATATTGTTAATTTATTTAATATTTTAAAAAAATTTAAATATATTTGTAGTCTTTATAAATGATTAATTTCTAATTTTCTTTTATATTTTTTAAGTTTAAAATTATTGTTTAAGTATTATAAAATAAGTAAATTTTTTGATTTTGAATTGTTTATTTTTGTAATATTTTTCTTTAATTTTCATCATTCTAGAATTTGAAATTTTTGATTCCTAATGTTATTAATTAATTCTATCATAAATAAATAACATTTATTTTAAATATAAACATTTTTTTAAGTTCTTCTTACTGATATATTATAGACCGTCATCTAGAATATTCATTTGATTTATCATTAAACATGGAAACAAATAAAGAGTGTTACATAATATATAATAGAACCAAAATTAATGATTTTTTAATTTTAAAATATAAAAACAAATATTTATTTACATAAACGAAAATCAAAACTAGTTGATTTTTTAAGGACAAAAATTATATGTTTAATCTTTTAATAATTATTATGATTGATATTAAGGGGAAAAATGAATATAAATTCAATATATAATTATATCACTGGATCCCGGATATATTTATCACCAAATATTTATTTATTTAAATTATCAATCACTATTTTAAATTATATATTATAATATAAACTAAAAATTCAAAAAGTAAGTTTTTTTAATACAAAATCATTTTTTTTTAAATTTCTGCAATGTATATAATATTTGTTTTAATCGTGTATAATGGTTATATAGTGTATATGATTGCAATCAGTATTTTAATTAGTCAAAGGCTTGAACATCAAACCTCATTTTGTCCTTTTACCTAACCCTAGTATCCCACATGGGAGAAAAAAAAAACGTCAGCTATTAATGTTTATGAATTATCATGGATGAAGGTTCATGCATGACAAAAGAGTCACTTTCAGAAACAAAATTATAGTGGAGAATCTTGCAAACAAAATAATGAAGGAGCCCACAGTGATATTCATTCATAATTATGGTATGTATTGTCTGTTTGGTGAAATGCGTAAGTGAAAATGATAGAATCTCTCTCATTATCTTTACAGCTTCTAAACCAGGTTCAGCTTATCCAACCAACTACCTAATTCAAAAAAATATTAATATAATAAGGTACATTTCAAAACAACAAGAATAATTTTTTTTTTTTTTTTTATCTAATATGATTCATAAAAATTATTTATTATGATATTTCTTTTAATTGTTTTACAATGTCGTTCTTGATTTTCTTCTGTCTCTTTTTACAGACTTAAAAACTCAAAAAGTATGTAATTTGTTCTTTTTAATCATTGGTGTCGCTAAAGATATTCTTTTTACGATTCTGAATCACCTTAATTAATTTTTGTCATTCTTTTTTGCAATAAATGTCACAATAGTATTATCCCATATTCATTCATTATGTATTTAATCTTTTTTATTACTCTATATCTTTTTTGAATTTTAATTAACATACTTATGTTACTTCAACTTTTTCTCTACCATATATAAAGTATATTTGATCAAATGATAGTGCGATAAAATTTTACTTTGAGCTTATTAAGTACTTTGCGATCTCAAATAACATCTAACTTGTTTATGTAATGCATGCGCAAAATAAATATTTATTTTATGTAAATAAATTTTATAATAAAGAAATAATAGATAAATTAAATTATAATTAAACTTGTAATAAACAAATATTTTTTTATCATATAATTATATTTTATATTTTTAATAATGATTTATATTGTGAAACACAGTTATTTTTAAAATTTCATAATTTAAAAAATTAAAATTAAAATTAAAAATAAAATAAAATAATATAGATTTTAAAATTGTTAAAAATTTTAATTGTTTTTGAAGAAAAACGACTCATAACGTTCTTGTTGAATATCTCCTAAATATATTTTAATTCAAGATAATTTTTCTAATTTTTGTAAATATAAAATGTTCTTTTCCATTTTCAATACCTAACTTGCATCGTGTAACATCTTCATTATTTTTATTAAAAAGAAACAACTTCAATATTTTGTAATTAATTTTGATTTAAAATATAATTAAACTTTAAAAAGATATGTGACATCACATGCATCTTCAATTTTTTTTACCGCATAGTCATTTTCCTATTATTTCTTGCTAATTTTGCAATGTATATTTATTTTTGTAATGAATGATGTCGCAAAGCACACACTTTACATTTGTTCATGTGAAAATCTCATGATTTTAATTTATCTGATCTCCAAAACTCAAATTCAAAGTCAACCTAATTAGATTAATTTCAACAAATCTTATCACTATTCTTTTATAGGTAGTAATCTTTTATGGTGGTTCACTTCTCTTATAGGTAGCAATTAATGAATAGCTAGCATAAACATGAGGATAATGAACATTATTAATTTATTAGATTAATATGAAGAATTAATGGCAAATCACATGGCGGATAAAATAAAAATATATATAGCCATATTTATGTAAGAATCTATCTTGATATGTATAGCATGAATATGTATGAAACAAGGAAATGCCAGCAAGCTAGAGTCCACACGTCGAGATGCGTTCGGCGAAAAGGCCAACCACCACCCACCAATACATAATAAATTTATTTGATCTTTTGACCTAACTTGCTTTGCTTTGGTTTGGAATTTGCTTCTGTTGTTTGTATCTCTCTGTGCAATTTGTAGAGAATCTTGTGAATATGATGGAACATGAACAGGGGACAAATTTGTCCATAAGGTTCAATTTCTATAATGTTTTTTAGTCTCAAATTGATTGATGAGATTATGGGCACTTCTTTTTAAAATTTCGTTGAGATTATATTCCTTCTAATTTGAGGTTATTATGTTCTCTTGATCAAACAATTAAATGTATCTGCCCCTCTCTTTCTCTTCTTGTAATTTTTTTTCTAAATCTTGCTGAAAGTACTCTAAAATTTTGATTGAAGTAATTCGACATATTTTATTAAGGTTAAATTATAAAAAAAAATGGCTTAATTATATTTGTTGCCCTCCAATTTATGAAATTCACACATTTTGTCTTTTTTTTTTCCCTTTACATTTTGAGTTAAATTATAAAATATTGTGCACCAATTTTATTTTCTTTTTCTTTTTTAAATTTGAAAAATGTTGGTTGATGTGTATTTATTACAATTCTATGATGCAGAGTATTATTTCCTTACATTTGAATTCTATATATTCAAAGGTGTAATTGAATAAATTATTGAAAATAATTGATTCAATAAATTTTTTATGTATCAATGACTGATACATTAGATTTGAATCGCTTTTCATAGTAATTTATATTTATTAAGTGTCTTAATTATGCTGTTAATTATACTACCAAATACTACTGTTTCAGGTGTTGAATATTCTAAATTTGTAATAGGTATCTAACTAATACTTTGATTAAAAAAAAACATAGGGAACGTAGAAGTAATAAAAAGTGAATTTTTTCGATTTTGACAATATATTCTTTAGAAAAGGTTAACATAAATTTTTTGTCCCAATTTTAAAATTCCCTATATTTTGCTCCTAACGTGCAATCATGCCTTTAGAAAATGATAAAAATGTTGGAGATAAGAGTTTTCCGTAAAGTGTTCTGATTGATTATTTAGTTAATTTTATTAATTAAATAATTTATGATGTTGTGTTGTGTCAATGTTTTAAAATTTTAAGGATTAAGAAATTTTTATGAGTTTAATTGTTTGAGAGTTGTTTTATATTTAGATTAAAGTTGACTAAATTATAAGAAGATATATAAGATTTTTTCTAAATACTTGAATTTTATAAGTTTATTTTTATTTTTTTAAATTCTAGAGAAGTTTTTAGAGAGAAAAACTTTGGAGTTAAAGGAGATATTTTCGTTCTTCTTACATCATAGAAGCACTTTGATCCTTCCTTGAAGCATATATGGTGGTAACATATATAGTTGGGATTTAATGCTTGGAAGCTAAGAATCAAAGGTTTGAATTTGTCGTATGACAAGAGTTTAGGGAGTCTTGTTTTTTTTTCTTCCTTTTCCTCATTTATGGTAGAATCAAGGCAAGTGATGTAATATTGTAAGTTTTTGTTTAATTATTATTTTTTTTAATAATAATTGTGTCTTGAGTAACTTTAATGTTAGGTGTTGAAAGACTCTGGGAGTTAAGGAACTCATAAAGTGTCTTTAGACATTTTAGAGGGTTTCTCTAGATAGAGATTCATTTTGATCGTAAGGAGAGGAGTATATAAGGTTTCTTTTAAAATTAAGCTTCATAACCTCCTTTTCAAAGAAACTAGAGAGAAAGGCTCTAGAGCTAATCTTCCTTCTTCATTTTTCTAGACTTCCCAATGGAGTAAGAGATCCTTGAGGATTAGAGAGTTGTGATTCAAAGCTACTTGGAGCTGAGAATCAAGTATGGTGGTGGAGCGTTCCTGATACTCAGAGTTTTTCCTTCTTCCTTCTTCCTCTTCTCCTTTCTCGTTTGCTAGGGATTAGGTAAGGAAATCTAGAACTTAGATATTTGATAGATGGGTAAGCTGCACATGCCTTGAATTCATTGTAAACATGATTCCATGGATGATTTTGAGGTGGTGATTCTAGTTGGGTTGAACTTGGGTGTTTTGAGTTCATGGAATCAATCTTGGTGAATGATCCAAAATTGTAGTTGCATGTTGAATATATGGTGAAAATTAGTTGTGAATGGTGTATATATGTTGTTCAACGCTTTGCATGTATAAATTTTTCTGAGTTTCAGGTTGGGGAGACAATTTCGTGTGTTTACAAGTGCAAGACTCATCATCATGTTGGGCTCGCCTTCAAGGTGTTGGGTGTGGTTCAATCATAGACACTCTATCTTACTCACACTAGGCATAAGATTGGTGACGTCAAATGTGAGAAGAGATAATTACCTCTGGTTGAACTATTGTTGGGCATGGTTTGAATAACAATTGTTATTAAATTTTTCTATCAAACAGCACATCCAAAAATATATTAAAAAAAATATAATTGCTTTGAAATTAAAAAATTGAAATTGTTAAAGGTGATAATCTGATTTGATATACACATTTTTTAGATGATTTTACTCTTAAATTTTTAAATAAAAAATAATATTAAAAGTGAATTATTCTTACAAACAAAAGATTCAAATTCAAGATCTTAAGGTTTAAAGATCAAACACAATACCAGTTAATCTAACAAACATTAATAATCCTTAAATATTTTATTAAATAAAATATAGAGACACGAACTTTCTCAACTCTACTAGTTTAACAATAAATAATATCCACTTGTTAAAATATAATACAAAGGATTAAAAAAAATATAATGCAATGGGAGGTAAAAAAAAAATATAATTCAAGGGAAAAATAAAAAAGTTGATTATATATAATAAAATCTACACTAAAAATATTTTAAGAAACTAATTTGAAAATAAAAACTGCACTGCACACTTCAATCAATCAGCTCTAAATTTCATATAAAAGTTAAATTAAAACTACGCTTAATAACAAAATATAAAAAACCACCAACAGGTAATTATTCAATTTTCAAAATTTCCTCCAAAAGTATCTACTGTCTTAAGTTTGGTATAATGACAAATTTTTTTTGTGTATAAATATTGTAAACAACAAGAGAAAAAAATAAAAGTAAAGAGTGATACTAAAATACTTAAACTATGTGCATCAACACTATCATCTTAATTGCTATTAATATGGTGAGTAAGAATTTGCAATTTGAAATTATGTGCATCAACACAACCAAAAAAACAACTAGAAAGTGTATAGTTGTTTTTTGAAAAGTACATAGATGAAGGTTTCAGATCCGATATGAATATTGTTAAAAATGTTGCCCTTGATATGGATATAGATTCTATACTTCCAACAGCACGTAGTGTTATTAAAAACAAACAATTTGATGAGAATAATTAGGAAGAAAAAAATTCAATTATCTAATGAGTCATTTAGAGTTAATTATGTTATAGTTGTTGTAGACATGACAATAATCTATTTAAAGAATATCTTTAAGCAATTAAATACATTTGAAAACATTTTTATATTTTTGTTTGATTCAAATAAATATCAATCACTAAATTTTATGTTTATATTTTAATATTTATGTATGAGAGACACCCTCCTTGTATAAACTTTTAGCATTTTTAATTTTTCCGGGTAGACATAAGCTGACTAGCCGTCTAGCCCACACATTTTTATCTCTAACTATCTTGAACTAATTTAGGGAAAGTTCTATAATCAGAATTGAGATCATCAGTCATTGATTTTGGAAGCTTAGGGCCTCAATCTGAGATTCCCTGTTTAAGAATGATTGGATTGTGAGGTTTGAAATTTTTGATATTTTAGTTTCTTTTTACTACAGTTAAGTCTTGATTTTCATTTATGCTTGTTATAATAATAATACTAAATTACTAATTCAGAAATTAATAAAACAAATAAAAGCTATATGTCTTCAATCCATAAAAGATAAAAACTTCTAGAGCGTATTGCTTTTATTTTTAGGTTTTCTTTCTTTATAATACGACCTAAGCAGCCTTCAATTGGGCTAGTTTTTGGGTCTGGGCCTAATAACTACGATGGTTCCATCTGAGGTCCAAAATGATTGTGATTGCATATTAGCGATGTATATTGTTTTATGTTTAAGGGAATTAGTTTTATGTCAACAAGGTGTATAAATAAATAAGTTTAGTTTTTTATGCAGTAAAGATGTTTTCACTGTTTACTAATTAGAAATTATTCTAAGTATAATTTAAAAAATAATCTATACATGGGATGATGAATAATTGAATGAGAGTGTAACTCTTTTATATACTTGCATTAAATTAAGAAAAGCTATGATTAAATTGTGTTAAGTAGGTGGGTGCTATTATTATTGAGAAATAAAATAAAATAAAAAAATAATTTAACGGCGAAGAGGATTGAAGGATTTGATTGGAAGAATGAGGTTTGGGAGAATAGTAACCTTAAAAGATTTAGTCAAAAGGGCACACGTGTGTAGGAAAGAGGTTCCCGTCTTTGCGCGCGAAACGTGGATTCAATATCGCAACAAAGAAAAAACAGTTATAGCCTGAGGGAACACAACACTCCGTTTCACAACCACATATACCACAATCTCAGATAGAGAGAATCAACAGAAGAAGGAGAAGAAGAACAATGGCGCAGGCACAACCTGAAGAGAAGATCCACGAGAACCCTGAAAAGGACACTACTGCCCATGAAACAGGCAATTCCAGCTTCAAATTCAATGCCCAAGCGCCTGAATTTGTGCCAAGATCGCATACCCAGATGCCAATTTCTGGTTATTTCTACCCCTGCTTCCAGATTCTTGGTGGCTCTGGCGAATCTGATTGGTTCTTTGTTGGGGACCAAGACCCTGCTTGTTTGATCCCCAGTACCAATGTTGCGTTACCCAATTGCTCCAAGAACATTCTTACCCCTGATCTTCAACAAAAGATTGTCAAACAGGTGCCCCTTCTTTTTGCTTACAATTCTTTCTAATCAAAATGTAATCTTTCTTCAACAATCTTGGATGATCTTTCATCGTTTTCTTTGGATTTTACATCGAGGTAAGTATTGTTTTGATAATGAATGCCAAACAAGCTTATAAGGGTCGGCCTAGTGATACGGAGATTGGATAATTTGTCTAAGTTCTTCAGTTCAAACTTGATTGTTATTATTTAAAAAAAAAAAAAAACTAATGACAATGAAAGTCATTAAGAAGATGTGGATGGTTTACATTGAGAAATTGTGAGTAAAATAAGATTTTGATCATTAGCCCCATTGCTTTAAAATTTAAAGTAAACTTGATGTTTGTACACCGGATAAAGGGGTTTATTTGGGTCAATTATTTGATATGGAAATCGTTTATGAAGGTTTTTTTTACAAATTTTCTTTGTATTTTACATTAATAATGAGAGTGAAACCTATTAGGGTCAACCTAGTGATAGGATAGTTGTATTATAAAAAATAAAAAAAATGATATTGAATGTCATTAATAAGACGTGGATAACTTACATTGTGAAATTGTGAGTGAAATAAGATGTTTGTCATTAAATGAATTAATGTTTGTATACCGGATAAAGGGGTTTATTTGGTTCAATTATTTGATATAGAAATCGATTATGGTTTTTGAACAAATTTTGTTATCGTGACATGTAAAGCTTTTGTTGTTTTTGAAGGTGGAGTATCAGTTCAGTGACATGAGTTTATTGGCAAATGAATCTTTCCAGAAACAGATGAATAAAGATCCTGAAGGTTTTGGTAAGGCTTTTGGGATTCTGTTTAGTTTTCCCCCCTCCATCCCTTCTAGGATTAAAATGATGACATCTCATTGATGAACGTTGGTTTTGTGACAGTTCCAATAACCGTAATTGCTTCTACCAAAAAAGTTAAATCCCTCGTTAGTAACATTCATCTGCTTACCCAAGCTATCCGTTCATCTTCAAAACTTGTAAGTATTTTGGATGGAATCAGGTATTATCTTCGGTTTTTTGCAGTTTTCTATCTGATAATGCAATTTTTGAAGGTTTTGAGCGCCGATAGCAAGAAGGTTAAACGTAAACATCCTTTCACTGAAAAGGAAAAAGAGGACTTGCAGGTAAAGAATTTACATGCTTTTTTGTGCACAGGATAGTCTTAAAATTACTTTTAATTATAGTAGTATAATGCATGTGTTTTTCTTTTCTCTTGCAGTCTCGCACTGTTGTGGCAGAGAATTTACCTGATGATCATTCCCATCAGAATCTTCAGAAAATATTTTCTACAGTTGGGAGGTGAATTTCTTCTATCCAAATCCAACCATTTGTTTACTTGTATGAACTTCACATTCTTGCAGTTTCTGACATTTTGGAAACATTGTAATTGATGGATGGTCCGTGAACAGCGTAAAAACAATCAGAATATGCCATCCCCAGGAGTCTAATTCTTCTCGCCCAAAATCTGATTTCTTCGTTAGTAACAAGGTACAGAAACAATATCTACCATATTTATATGTTGTCTTAAGGATTCAAATGACAATTATGAGATTTTCTTACCCCATGCTACTTGTGCATCTCAATCAAGCTCCATGCACTTATTGAGTATGAGACATCAGATATAGCTGACAAAGCTGTGAGTCGAATCTTCAAGAACTTTTAGCTTTTAATATGCATATGATTATTCCATAATCACATCATTAAACATTTCTTACTTGATTAGGTTGAGAAGTTAAATGATGAAAGGAATTGGAGGAAAGGGATGCGAGTAAGGCTGCTTCTTAGATGCTCGGTATGTATTTCTTTACCTGATATTAATGCCTCTTGTTTTCTATTGTATCTCTTGAATTTCCTACAATTCTTTCTATTGGATTTTTGTGTAACTTTGTGCAGCCTAAATCTGTTCTGAAGTGTAGAAAGTCGGAATTTGATGGCTATCTGGAAGAAGAGGAGATTCTAAATTCTGAAACTGCTGAGGATTCTTCTCACTCAAACAATGCTGACTTGTTTGACTCAAATGTAAGTGGCATTGCATGTATAGGCCACACATTGGGATGTGTTAAAATCTGTCTGAATACAAGTTAAAAATATTTTTGAGAGTTTCTTTATTAAAAATAAAGAGCTGTTTTTAATAACGAATCTTTCAAAAATATTTCTAAATTTATATTCAAGCAAGTTTTTAGTCATTTCTTTCAAGTCTTTCAGTTAACTAATCATATAGCTCAAATACGATAAAAATGCATGCTTTCTATTCATATATGCATGAAAGTAAATTGTGCAAAACAAATTTTATAGAAACATGGACTCTTTGCTCGAATGCTGAGCCCTTTTATGGGAAACACAAGCTTCTTTTCTTTGCATGCCACGGACAATACATAAATATCGAGATGAAATTCCACAGACATGCTCTTTTCAAACATAATTTGGATGTAATTCCTTAAGTACTTTTGTTGTTATTCATTTATTAGAATTGAACTTTTCTTTCTGTAATCTATATAACGAAATTTTGCAAATTTTAATTATAAATGAAAAACAATAATGAAAGTACTGCATTTGAGTTTTGTCCTTTAAAAGATGATTGCACTGAGTTCTGGTTTCATTTCAAGCAATCTGACAAGTCCTGACATGAGTCTATTGGTTTGCACTTGATGACTTTGCAGGTTGATGAAAATTCAATAGGATCTAAGAAAGGATGGGCTAGAGGACGGGGAAAGGGCAGAGGACGCACTCAAGGACGTGGCCTGCTTGCCCCACCATCTCAATCAAGCAGCACTGTCTTGTGTGATGTTCATACTAAACCCAATACTAAGGGCCCAAGAATGCCAGATGGGACAAGAGGCTTCACCATGGGACGTGGCAAGCCAATGAGTCCTTCTGCTCTAGTCACTTCACCTCAACCTCAAGAGTGATGGGTATTTCTGAAGTTTTTCCCTTTGCTATATAGTGAACTTTAGGAGAGATTTCTCTGTATTTCTTCACCACAGTATTCCAAAAGCAGCAAAAGTGTTTTAGAAGACCCTATTATGTGGGCTACACGGGTAGTCCCAATTTTTTTTAGATTTCAGTTTAGTAATAATTCATGATGTATAGTTTTTATATGGTATGGCCACCCTTGTGACAGTGACCACAAAGCTCCTGAATCCTGCTTTCTTAGATTTCAATTTAGTGAGGGAACATATTGTTTTTTATTGTCGGAAATAAGTGCTTATTGCTATTGTACACTAAAATGTTTTTGAGATTGAATAAGAGGTATTTTCTATTTTTATTGATTGGACTTTCCAAAATAATGGTGGTAGCTGTATTTTTACAAAATTCAATCATATTGTCCTCTATATATATTGAATGTTACTATTTAAAGGAATTATTCTTTAAGGAAAACATTTTTAGGGTATTTTTTATTTTAATGAAAAAACTTTAGATTATTTTAGTGTAAAATTTTTTCATTTTTTATTATCTTTTTCAATCAATTATTTTCAGATTTATTTTTAAACTAGATTTTAATATATTTTTAAGAAGAATTATCTATAGTTAAAAATAAATTTGCATTATAATATAAGTTATTTATTATAAATATAAAATATAATTTATATGTTAGAAATACATATTTATCATGAATTTTAATTATAATATAGTTTTGAGAAAATAAATGATGCATTGATAGTATATGGTAGTTTTACAATAAAATATAAAATTAAATTGTAATTTTAAATATATATTTATCATCCAACCACAAATTATCATTTATGATAAATTATTGACTTTTATAATAAATTATTAAAAAGTCATACCATTAATATTTGATTAGTTGACCGTATAAAATTACTTTATATTATCAATATATGACCATATTTGAGGGGAAAAAACAGCATGAAAAGTAAAAAAAAAAAATAGTTTTCTTACACTAGATAATGACAATACAAGGCATTATTTTAACACTCCATCAAACTAAAACATATAAATCACATGTTCCAAGCTTGGAACAAATGGATTACATTCTAGGACTTCTCAAAGACTTGGTCAAGATATCGACAATTTGATCATTTGAATTGGAGAACTCAATACAAATCTTTTTGGAGAATAACTTCTCTCGAACAAAATGATAAACAATCATTATATGGTTACTTATGGAGCACTAGACTAAAGACAATATGAAAAACTTCTTGATTATCAGAATATGACTTCATTCTTGAACTACACAAGTTAAAAAAGTTGCTTGATCCACACCATTGTGGTTGTGGCCATGGCTTTATATTCCACTTCTATAGCAAACCGAGCAACAACAATATTTGCTTTTCCAAGAGATAGTGTTTCCTCCAATAGATACACAACACTTGTTTGTTTATGGAGCATCCTACCCAAGCCACTAGACAATCCCATAAGTTTTGGTACATCATTTATCTTTATATAATAGACCTTGTCCTAGAGCTTTTTTAATATACTTGAAAATATGAATTGCAACACTTTAGTGATAAATTCGAGGAGCCTGCATAAGTGACTTAAAAACCCCAATTGCGAAATAAATGAGTTTCCCAACTAGCTTTTCATATCATTTTAGATTCAAGAATGATTCACCTTGCTCTACCATTATTTTATGATTTGGATCCATAGCACTGTTAATGAGCTTACAACCCTTTATTATTATCTCCTTCAAAATATCCAAAACATACTTCCTTTGTGAAATAATAATGTCTTCCTTGGATTGAGCCACCTCTATGCCAAGGAAGTATTTCAAGCTACTAAGACTTTTGGTTTGAAACTGATTGAATGAATGTTGCTTGAGTCAAGAGATTTTAGCATCATTATTCCTTGTAATGACAATATCATCAGCATAGAGAGTTAGGTAAACACACTATCTAGGAGAATTGTGCTAACAAAATACTGAATGATCAACGTCATTATGTTTCATGTCAAAACTTTGTACATGACTAAATTTTCTAAACTAAGCTCTTGGAGATTGTTTGAGCCAATAGAGAGATTAGTGAAGTTTGTAAACCAACCTACACTCCCCCTAAGCAACAAACCTAGGAGGTTGTTCCATGTAAATCTCACCTTCCAATTCACCATGAAGGAAGCCATTTTTAATGTTTAACTATTGAAGCGGTCAATGACAAATATAAGTCACAGTAAGAAAGAGACAGACAATAGAGACTTTGGCCACTAGAGAAAAGGAATCACCATATTTAAGACAATATATTTAGGTTTAACCTTTGGCTACTAATCCAGCCTTAAAGGAGATCAACCACACCATTAGGACCAATTTTAATGGCATACACCCATATGCAACCATCCTTTTTTGCAGGAGGAAGGGGAACCAACTTCCATCTATAACTTTGTTCAAAAGCCTGCATTTCAACAATCATTGCTTGCTGCCATTTGGGATGGTCAATTTCTTCATGAAATTTTTTTGGAATACTGATCAAAATAAAGAGGAAAAAAAAAGAGAAATATGAAAAAGCCAAGCGATGATAACTAAAAAATTTATAGATAGTAATGAGGTTTTTGAGTGGATCAAATATCTTTCCTTAGTACAATGGGCCAACTAGAGTTTTCATCAAGAGAAGGATTAGAGAAAAATAGGAGAAAAAGTATGTTGAATTGCATTTTAAAAGATTTGATAAAATTTTCTTAAAACCAAATTTTCAAATGAGAAGGATAAAAGGATATATTGTGAAGAAGATATAGTAAAAGCTTTATCAAATCAAATAAGTTAAAAACTTAGAAGATAAGGAGAGAGAGAGAGAGGGAAAGTAAAACACTAATGGTGTGTTTGGATGGGAAATTTTACAAATTCAAGGAATTTTAAATTCTTGGTATTTAAATTACTTTAATTTCAATTTCTATCATTCTTAAATATTTTTTTTGGATAAGTCAATTCAAATTTCTCAAATTTTAAATTATTGGGTTGGATATGATAATTTGATTCCATCATGAAAAAATTGATTTTAAAAATATATTTATATGTTGATATTTTTAAATTAAATTTTATAAAAATAAATATTAACTAATTTTTAAATATTTAAAAATTTTAAAAATTAATATTAGATAATATTTAATAATTTTAAAAATATTTTTAAATATTCAATAATTAAAAGCATGAAGAGATAAGAGATAAGATAAAATATATAAGTGAAATAAGAAAAAAAATATGAGATTTTAAATTCTTACTTTTTCAGAAGAATTTGAAATTCTATAATTTCAAGAAATTTCACAAATGCTTAAATTTCAAATTCCTTATAAATTCTCTATCCAAACAAGGTATTTCACCTCAAAAAATTTAAAATTCTTCAAATAAATGAATTACTCTATTTAAATTTTCCATCCAAACACATTATAAATTTTATACTAGCTTGACTCTACCATCGAGAAAGTGTCCATTTATTGACTAAACTACCAAGCCAAAAAAAAAATAGTACAAGAATTTTATACACAAGTCTAAAATTATCAAAATCAACAGGAATCCACAGACCAACCTAGCTCGTCACAAGTTTAAGTTAAATTGGGTAAAAAATATTTTGGTAAATTTTAAATATGGATAAAATTTAACTCAACCCAATCAGAACCCAATTCACCCAAATTGAACTTGTGATGAGTTAAACTGACACACAAGTTACACAAACAATAAATAAAGTTAAATAAACCCACACAATAACCTATTATGTTTCCTTCCCAAAAAAAAACTAACTAACTATTATTGTATTGACCAACAAGTCCACAATCTAGTGGCCCACTCATAAACTCACTCCACTTTTCTTGCACGTGATCAATCAACCCAAATTATCCTTGAATCCGATCATATTTAACTCATGCACGACACTAAAACACGATGCATTTTTTTATTAATATTATTATATTACTTATATTGTTTTCTATATATTATTTTTAAAAATTAGTAATGTGAATTATTAACTTTATATACCAGTAATAATGTTTGGTGTGTCTCAAATTTTAAATTCGCATTTCTTATATATTGTTTGTAAGTTTGTTCTATTTGTAAGGTAAATAATAATCTTTAGTTGATTTCCAAATAATTATAATTAAATTTATATAAATGAAAATTAATAAAATCATCTATTACAAATAAAATTGTTTATAAAATTTAAAATAACAATAATGAATGGTAGAAGAAAAATGTAATTATTTTCTTGAAGAAACTTATAGAGAAAGAAATAATTATTGGTTTGAAAATTAGAAGAAAAAAATCATTATTTTTACAATAAATGTTATAAAATGAAAAATCAAATGTTTTCTTAAAAAATAAAAATAAAATTTAAGTATCATTATTTCTACAAAAAGAAACTTTTAAATATAAATAGTTATACTAATAACAAGATATCATATTATTTTAGTATTTTTATAAAAAAAATATTTTAAAAAATGAAAATTCCACAAAAAGGTAGGGACCACCCAACCAAAATACATGATGAATCTATCCCTAGTTGTGGAAGTGATTGTACTTTTTGGCCCAACCAAAACCATTATCCAACGGTTATCTTCACCATCTGAATAGTTGCAACAATAAGGGTGTTAGTTGTTCATGGTAGAGTTACCAGCATTAGTTTGATGAATCTGATGATGCGGTTGTCACTATTGCCCCTAATGTGGAAAACAGTAACATTGTGTAGTAGATATTTATAATAGAGTTTTAATTATAGTGATTTATTATTATTATTATTATTTTTTAAGATAGGAAAGATTATAAAGATGGTCATAATGAGAATTGAACTTAGATCGTCATGCTTCTATCTATCCCAATCCCTCCCCACCCAACTACTAGGATTAGCCTAGTGGTCTTTATTAATTTTAATTTAAGAGTTATTATTAGTTATTCTCGTATTTTTATATAAACATGTATTTTTACTAGAGTCTTTCTATCTCTTTTTCTCTCAATATATTATTATGAAAATGTCATTTTTATGTGAGAATGAGAATGTTTAATCTCAACCCTTAAATTAAAATATACGACTTTGATTAATAGATTACAAATGAAGTTATCATGTACCGTTACTATCGTAGTTGCCTTTTTTCATTATTGTTATCACTACTATTATTGCCACCACATCCACTCTTACCACTACATAACCACCACCTTTATTGTCACCAACACCATCATTATCGTCACCACCACTATTATTATTGCTATCATCACTATCGCACCACCACCCATTTCTACTGTCATTATTGTCATAATCAATAATGGTGGTAACAATGGTAAAGACAGTGGTGATGATCTTCGCAATGGCAGTGACAATAGTGTTGGTGTTTTCA